TTGCTAGAAGCAAAGGATCCGCGTTGTGACTGTATCCTTGAAGAGTTGTTCTCCGACTCCTCGACGATGGGTGACACATACGACATCTGCGTGTAGTACGACGAAGGCCCTCTCCGCGAAGAGGGCGGTGGACCGAGACTTGGAAAGCGTCGCGCTTGTTGGATACTTGGCATAGGCGGTTGGGGTACAGGAAAGTCGGGTATGGAGCCTATCGAGGAGTCCGAGGCTATCGACGAGGTAGTGATTGGGCGCGAAGATCGAAATGAGTTAGGTGAGAAGGTGTCGGCATTCGGATGTAGATATATTGATGTTGGGGAGGTCGGCGAGGGAAGATCGGGCGAGAGCTGCTGTATAGGAAACTCGTCGGATACAGGGCGTGCAAACTGAGGCGGTGGTCTCAGTCTTTCTGGAGAGCGAGGTGGTAAGACAGGTGTCGGATCGGCTTTGTCCCTGGTATTGTTTGGCAGTGGCCATTGTGGTGACGGCGATCCCGAATCAATGTCACCTCTGCTTCCCGAAGGCGCCGGTTGCTGTGACTGTTCTACCCGTTCCTGAGAGTTCTGCATGACGAGCTGGTTTGGTCGCCGGGGAAGGCCAATGATCTTCGACGTGTCTGGGAGTTGGGTCCTCTTTTGCGCAGCCTGCATCCGCTCTCTCGCCGCCCGTACCGAGCCCTTCTTTGCGTCTCCATCGCTGCTTGCGCCTGTTGCACCGTATGCTGCGGCGCCCAGTCTTGGATCGTAACTCATGAATTAGATGTCGGAATGTTGACGGTAAATGTGCCACTCGACACAAGTCTGGCTGTAAAAGGTTGTTGTGCGACGCGAGGTTCACACCCTCGGTGCGCGTGACTGGTAGAGTCGTCGAGTCTGCTCCAGGCAACGTGTGGGTTGTAAGAGTGTTGAATGTGGGTACTGTTGTGCGACTGTTGACGCATACGCACTTCTTGCAAGACAGCTGATGGCCAATGCGGACATGTATGACACGCAGGCCCCGGGGTACTCGAGCTCCCGAATGCTGGTCCAGGTACTTTCTCCAAATTACAGGCAAATAGGTGAGAGAAGGGTAGACTCCAGGAACCGACGCGGTGATTTGATACGTGTCGGTACACGCGGAAAGCAGCGATTCCTTGCGTGAGCGACAGCCAGTTGCCTGAGGTTTCAGAGATTCAGGAACCAGGAGGTGACTGATACACCGTATCAGATATTGACTAACCTACTCTCACAGATCAGAACGAGTCCTTTGCATGATCGGTGGTGCTCAATAGGGACTCAATAAGGACAGCAAGGGCTCTGCGGACGGAGAGTACACCGTGATGCAGAGTATAACCGAGCCACTATAGCCCAAGAGGATATGCAGCCCAGCAATAACATGCCAAATACGACAAGAGCGGACGCAGAGGCGAGGAAGAAGGGAAGGTGTAACGTTCTCTGTTGCAGCACCGTGGCGCTGATCCCAATGGGGTTTCATAGAAAATCCATGTACTTACAGTAAGAGGTTCGCAGCCAAGTCAGACGAGCGTTGTCGGAAGAACGGCTATCGATAGCACGCGATGAACGAAGGCGGTTGAATAGAGTGACAGGCCGTTGAGCCAAGTATAAGGAATATGTACAAAGGGTAAATGCGGGGACTAAGCTACGCGGAGGTGTCGAAAGTAGTAAAAAGAAAGTATAATAGTTAGGATGCGACAGAATGGTGGTGGCGCAAGAGCTTCGAGCTCGCGAATGGCTTCAGGCCGAGATGGAATGGAAAGAGTGAGGATAGGCAAAAGGCACGAGAGACAGCGACGACATGTCACGCAAATACAGAAACTTTGGAGTGGCAGGCAGGGCAGATTGTGGAACACGCAAGGTTGGCATGGTTCAGAGTTAGAAGCACGGACTAGAAGGTGTAGTGCAGGAAGCGAAGACGCCACGACATGCGCGGGCGACTCAGGGGCCTCGTACTGGTCACCGTCTATCGAAACCAGCATGGTGCGACAGTCGCGGGCAACGCACACGCTCCCGCCTCAGCACGAGGTGAGGAGAGCCCCAAAGATGCGCCCAACGTGCGCTGGTGCGAGAGCGTGCGCCGTTTCGAAAACGTCCGCTGCATTCACTGTGATGAGGGTAAGGTTTTCTCGAGGCGCGCCTGAGGAGCTATTCGTGGTTATTCGTGGTTATTCGTGGTTGTCAGCACTTGGGGCGATCCGGTAATGTTGTAGGATGCTTCAGATGCTTGCGGCCATGGTGTGTTTTACATAGCATCACCTTGCGTAGACGAGGCGGGCCCGCGACTCGGTCTCGAGTGTCGTTCCGGCCAAGACAGCCCAGTTTAGCACTCGCGTGCTGTTCCTGCATGCATGACGCTTTTTTGGGGCCAGGCAATACGCCTACTGCGACGCTCACAAAGGGTGCCTGCAGGAGTGCGAACCATTCTGCCTGAGGGCGCCGTTGACGGTGTGCGCAACAACGTTCCAGCGCTGTCACTAGGGATCCTAGTGATCGGGGAAAGGGCCGAGCCAGCGAGATTGGACGCAGGGTCGCGATCGAAGTTGATTTTGCGAGGCTCAGCGAATGGCTGTGGAAGACGGGATTGATATTAGATGCCGAACCACGGTGACCGTGATGGCGGGATCGAAGGTGGACAGCTTGGAGTAATCAATTCGAGGCGTCCCATAGATAGCGATCGACAAGCGAGATCCAGCGGCCTTGGTGCGTCGATTACACCGTCCCGCGTCTCGTCCTACCGCGCCAAAACCTTGACGTGATGTCTCTGAAATATCCCAAGGCTGACACTATCTCGCGCAATCACCGGTAGAGTTTGCGCAGAACCTTGGACGTGGCCGTTGGGCAGGCACCGGCTCCTTCTGCCACGTGATGTCAGCGTGGCGGAAATTATGGGCAAAAAAAGAAACATCCGACAACGCCTCTATCGACTCGACCCGAGCAAGTGCTCTGTGCATACGGAAGCTGCGGTCGTCGCTACCAGATCAGCGAAGATCCCCACCTGGGCATCCCCGTGTACCGCACACGTCATATATGGATCTTATACCACCAGACTCATGGCCACACTATTGAATCTACTGAATCCTGCGGAAAAATGTTTACACTCCACATGTGCGACTTGTTAGAGAGAAAAGTCTATCTGCAATCTTGGTATGCGCCTGTGCTACCAAAACATGGCGGGGAAGTAACTGCTCGGACTCAATTGACAGGCACGACGGATAGCTGCAGTATGTAGGAGCGTTGGTGCAACTGCTGCAGCCTCCCTATTGACCTCCCAGCCACAAAGTCATGTACGACAACTGAACCCGTCCTCGAGTCATCGCTCGTGCAACGTCGAGTACCCACGCGAACAGCCAAGCTCAGCATGTCCGAGATGACTCGGATGGCTACGGATGACGATGGAGAAATCGCGCAGCCGATCGATATGGCCTCTCAGCAAGTTCGTGGAGGGTACAGCACTGAATTGCTCCTACAAGTTACTTAACTCCATTTTAGGGCATCGCCATTGGATGCAGTCGCACATTCCGCAAACCTGTGACACCCGACCAGAGCTCTGGGCATTTACTGTCGCAAACTGAGGCTTCTCCAGATGGAGGTGTAGCCCTCGGGCCATCACATGGCGCATATAGCCAGCTGTCCACGGACATCTTCACTGACCACGGCCCTGCTCAGACAGCGACAACATCTACGCTCTCGAGACCATTTGCAGTTCCACCCTCGCCTTCTCGACTAGCCAATATTCGGGTCCGGCGTGCGAACAATGGCTCAACACTGGTACAGTCACCAGCCCGCGCTGGACATGCCGCGCGGATGAGGCAGATCTTCGAAGATGCCGGCCGTGATCATCAGCCCCCTCAGTCTGAGCAAGGCGTGTCATATCCCCAGCTACCAAACATCTCCAGAAAGGCCTCGCCACCAGTGGAGCATGGTAGGAATGAGCAACATGCCACTCTCGCAATCTCTCCGGTACAACGTCCAGAGTCCCCGTGCATGTCGAGAACGTCGTGCAGGATGGTATCACACGCGACGCAGGCGAACAGTCCTCGCATATCCGAGCAGAGTTCAGAGGCATGGTCGGACGACTCTGGATATTTCATCGCAGGCTCTCGAAACCGCACTGCCAGTCTTACTGGTCCGCCTAGGGATCGTATCAACGACTGGCTTGCAAGCACATCTCTACACGAACAGGAGACATGCGGTATAGAAGATGTACTCGACTACCAGTCTACTAGCCATTTACCGCGCTCTTCGTCTGGGAAGGATGTCTTCAGCAAGGATAACACCCAGTCACCCCATCATATTAGCACAACCACAATCCCAGACCCGTTTCTCGAACCCGACTCTACCCTGCGCATCTCTCCCCTCTTCAAAGCTCTCCCTCCACGGCGCCCTCGCAATCAGCCACACACTCCAACCCAGACACAAACGCCTTCTCCAACGACTGTCACCATCCGCCCTCACCAGCCCGCAGTAAACCGCCCGATCCTCGAAGAGGGCGGTATTCGACTTAGCCCTCTTAGCCCCAACGTCTGTATCGAGCGCGGTCCGTCTCGTTACCATTCTACGCGTACGTCGCCGATTAAAGAACGACGAGCGTTGCGGTATACTATGAACGGGAATGAGAATGAAAACGAAAATGGCGGTGTCGGACTACAAAAGGGGAAAGGCAAGGAGGTGGCTGATGCAGAGGTACAAGATAGTCCGCTTGCGCCGTGCAAGATCGGTGTCGGAACGAGATTCCAGCATGAAAGGCATGGGGTGAGGGGAGTGGGTAGGTTCGGTCGGTGTTTGGGGACGTGAAGGGTCGCTGGTAGGACGATTCAATCAGTTGAAAAGAATTGAATAGAAGAGTCAGAAGGGGGCTGATTATTGGGTATCACTGCTATATCTCAACATGGAGTACCCATCAACACAGCAGAAGACTTGGATAGATCGATAGTATAGAGTGGAGCATATGACATTGCATTCGTACAGGCAACTCGTGCGCAATGAACGTGATATATACTTGTATATTCATTGTCCCTCCTCCGTCTTCTCCTCATCCACTTCATCCTTAATAATCCTGCAGATTTGAATCTTACTCTTTCCCGCCCTCAGCACCAGCGCCTCCCAATCCACGAGATAGTGATACGGATTGAACTCCTTGCCCGGTTCGATAGTCGCCCACTTCAACGCGGTCGGGTTGTCAGGCGGACCAGAGTTGGGTACGATGACGTACGCGCCCTTCTTCGCGATCAAGCGGCTCGCTTCGGATTTCGAACTCGCGAGACCGGCGGCGTGAAGGACGTGCGGAAAGGATCCGGCTTGGAGCATGGAGAGGGGGAGTGTAACGACATCTGACTTGTCGTGCTGAGGTCGTTCGGGTAGAGTGGTAGTTGTTGGCTGTGCGGTGGAGGAGGCAGCGTAGGCTTTCTTGTATTCGAACAGCTCTTTTTCCTCCTTCATGTGTTCCTTTGGCTCGTTGGTGTCGCCCTCGTCCCTGGCAATCGCGTTCCTCAGCGAGAATAGCGAGAAAGTATGGGCTCCCTGGCCGAACGCGTCCTTGTGTGCGGCTTCGGCTTTCTTCGCGTCTGCGGCACCGTGTGCTAGCTCGACGATTTCGCGGGCGAGTATGTGTTGGGCGTTGCGCTTGGATGGGTCTTGGTTTTGGCGGTTCATTAGGAGGCCGATCTCGTCAAGGGGGAGGAAGGTGAAGAGCTTGAGGTAGCGTTCGACGTCGGCGTCTGCGGTGCGGAGGAAGTACTGAATAATTTGTCAGTGATAGCATGGTAAAAGATTGCGGAAAGTGTACTTGGTAAAGATCGAACGAGCTCATCATCTGGCGGTCAAGCCAGACTGCATTGCCCGCGCTCTTGCCAAACTTCTCGCCAGACGCTGTTGTAAGCAGTGGTGTGGTGAGACCGTAAGTTGCTACGCTTGGGTCTTCGTCGCCTTCTGCTCCGTTGTCCATGCGATGTATCTTGCGCATATGACTGACGGCGCCCATGCCGGCGATGATATTTCCGTACTGGTCAGATCCGCCTATTTGTAGTTGAACGCCCTGGTTCCGGTACATGCTCCACCAGTCGTAGGCTTGGAAGAGGGGGTAGCTAAACTCGGATATAGCCATACCCTCGCCGCTTTCCATTCGTAGCTTGACCCTGGACGTGTGAGCAGCATTCTGCACTCGAGATATGAAGGACTTACGAGTCGCGACTGAGCATGGCACCCAGGCGCATACCAGACCCCAGATCCCTCATCAGCTCAACTGCACTCAACTGGGACAGCCATCTCCTGTTGTTGAGGATATCCTGCTTTCGGCTGATCCGGGGGGAGTACTGGTACTTGATGCCCAGGCATTTGACATTCGTCCACAGCTTGTCCAGTTGGCGCTGTATGCTCTCCACATTCATAGACTGCACATCTTCGCCTTGCCGAGACCGAGCCGTTGTTCTACCAGAAGGGTCGCCAATCTGGACGGTGCCTCCTCCTAACTAGCCATGATTAACTCGCGTTGTATGCATCGAGTCGCGGGTGGCTCACCAAGCTGACGGTGTAGTAGCCATGGAGGTACATCCAGTACAGCGCCATAAGCGGAAGGAGGTGGCCGACATGTAGGGAGGGGGCTGTAGGGTCTACGCCGACATATGCGCCGATGCGTTTCTCGGTGAGCAGCCAGTCGAGCGTCTGGCGTCCACTATAACAATTAGCGACCATTGGGGAAGGCTGTTCGCGACATGCTCACCCAGCGACATCCTTGACAAATCCACGCTCTTCAAGTACACTCAACATGCTCTGGTGCATCCCCGCCCGCACTTGTCCCGCGTGTTCCTCCCATTGCGCCTGGCGTATTACTGGGTCGGGCTCCTCGTCGGCCCATCTCGCTGCCGGTCGCTCACCACGGGCAAGCACATGCTGATGTCGTATGCATTGCCGACATACAAATGGTCGGGGCCGTGGTAGACGTCGTAAGGCTGACATGGCTGCCCATTGAGCGGCATCAAAACTTGGGCCCATGCCAAAATGTTCCTAAATGCCAAGATGGGAATTCAATGACCCCGATTGGCTGGAGCTCTAGTGCACCTCGCAGCTACCCCGACCTCCGCACACGTCACCTGCACCTCCTCGGCCTCTTAGTGCCTGCATATGCATCATTGTGCTGCTGAATACCTTAGTTGTTGGTCAATGCAAACTCAATACTCTCCTCATCATCCGTCCCGTCCATCGTGTCTTTCTGTGTGCTTTCTATCATTATCCTACTTGACTACATAGCTTATCCTGACTTTCTGCATTCGATACCATGTACGCCGCACTCAGCTGCCATCCTCCGCTGGGCCAGACGACTACCATTCCATCCGATCGAGAATCTGTGTGTTCAATCTGTCTCCCGACTTGAGTCTCATCTAATCACACACTCAGGTAAGGATTACTGTAGTCATTGAGAGCTCAGCCGGGCCGGAGAAGGCGTGGGAGGTCGCTTTGTGGCACAACTTTGATACTCTTGATCAATGGACAAGCACTAGCTTAAAGCCAAATGATGGGGCATGCGTGGTGAGCAAACGATCGTGCCACCTAAGCTCGTCAGAAGCTAATCGCAAATAGACGGTAGTCAAGCCCAATCACTCAAATGTCCAACGTCAGTACTATACAATTGACTTAGCCGGACGACCCAAGCACGGGTCTTCCCTATCGTACACCATCACTTTCAGAGCTTCAGAAGTAAGTAACATTCGCTCTACAATGGGCTGGCTGGATTGGCCATGTAAAGCGATCAATCGCAAGTTGTCGCTAACATACCCAGAACGAACCGTGGAAGTGGGCCAACGAACAATTCTCAACCTCAGACGGTCGCCTCATCTACCAGTCACCAGATGCGTTGAAAGAAGATTTGACTTACTATGTCGAGGGCCTACCACCATTCCTCAATATATCCAAAGAACAAAGCGATACGCCCAACACCGTTCTGTGGGACCTCACCTACCCCATCAGTACAGCGTCAGGTAAGCAGCCCGGTCTGTCAGGCGAAAAGCTCGGTAAACCGACGAATCTCTCCCGCTGGTTCGCCGAAGTACGACTATGGGCTCCATGGCTCGCCCCGAGACAGGGCAAGGACCGATTCCAACCTGATAAGGATGCCATGTTGGCCGCATTCGAGCGTCACGATGGCACCCATCTGGCACTGCTTGCTGTAAGTGGATTAAGTGAGGTATTGACAACCCTCAACCACGACGGCGAAGGCAGAGTCGTCATGAACGCCAGGAACGATAGCGAAAAAGATGGCACTGTGCGTATCGTTGCTGCAGTGGGCATGAAGCTAGACGACGCAGTAGCAGCTTCGATGTACTATGCTCGCAAACTCGTAATGGCATACCAAGTATCGGCAGGACTGGTCAGCGAAGAAGAGAAGGCCTTGATTGACGACTTCAAACCCCAGTGGCTGGAGAACTGGTATGACGGCTTGACGTACTGCACCTGGAACGGCCTAGGCCAGAAGCTCAATGAAGACAAAATCTTCGAGGCACTGGAGTCACTACGCAAGAACGAAATCAATATCAGCAACTTGATCATCGACGACAACTGGCAGTCGCTCAACACCGAAGGCGGCGATCAGTTCGACAACGCCATGACAGAGTTCGAAGCAACCAAAAAGGGATTTCCTCGTGGCCTCAAAGCCACAGTCAGCGACATACGAGAAAAGTACAGCCACATCCGCCACATCGCTGTATGGCATGCCATATTTGGCTACTGGGGTGGCATTGCACCTGAAGGCCGCATAGCAAAAGACTACAAAACTAGTCTTGTCCAACTCAAAGACGGCGTATCCGGCGGCAAGATCACCGTCGTAGCCGAAGAAGACGTCTCGCGCTTCTACAAAGACTTCTACGAGTTCCTCTCTTCCTGTGGCATCGACTCCGTAAAAACCGACGCCCAATTCTTCCTCGACGAGCTCCACGACTCGGACGACCGCCGCAAGCTAATCAAATCCTACCAAGACGCCTGGTCCATCGCACAGCTACGTTCCTTCTCCGCGCGCGCTATATCCTGCATGTCGCAAGCCCCGCCCCTAATCTTCCACTCGCAACTCCCGTCCAACAAGCCACGCATGCTACTGCGTAACTCGGATGACTTCTTCCCTGAGGTACCGGCCAGCCACCCCTGGCACATCTTCTGCAACGCGCACAACTCCATCATAACGCAATACCTCAACATACTCCCCGACTGGGACATGTTCCAAACGAGCCATGACTACGCGGCTTTCCACGCCGCCGCGCGCTGCGTCTCCGGCGGCCCCATCTACATCACCGACGTCCCCGGGCAGCACGACATCGACCTCATCAACCAGATGACAGGTAAGACACCGCGGGGCGACACCGTTATCCTACGTCCCCACACCGTAGGCAAAACAACACAAGCCTACAACGCATACGATGACACCGTCCTCCTCAAAGTAACCACCTACGTCGGCATGGCCCACACCGGCGTCTCCATCCTCGGCGTCTTCAACTGCACCCCCAAACCCATCTCCGAACTCATCGCCCTCGACGCCTTCCCCGGCGCAGAAAAAGGAACCTACATCATCCGCTCGCACACAGACGGCCAAGTCACGGCTCCAACGAGCGTAGCAACTAACGATGCGTTTGTGCATATCGAACTTCCGGTTCGTGGCTGGGAGATCTTATCTGCGTTCCCGTTGATGGAATTTGAACTGCAGAGGGGGGAGGGCAGTGAGGCAGCCGGACCGCGCAAAGTTTGTGTCGCGAACTTGGGGATTGTGGGTAAGATGACGGGGGCGGCGGCGATTGTTAGTGCGGATGCGTATGTGGATCGCAGTTCGGGGCGGCTGAGGGTTTGGACGAGTTGTAAGGTTTTGGGGAGGTTTGGTATGTTCTTTTCTCTTTCGTATCCTCCGTGTTGCTTCCCTTGGTGCTGCTGTGTTTGGATATTCACTAACACGTCACAGCACTATATGTCTCAGACCTGCCAAAGCGCTCCATCGAAAACGACTTTTTCGCCGTGTTGTTCGGCCGCCCGGTGCCAGCACATTGCGTCAGTGCCAGCAAGGAATGCGAGAACGTGCTTGAGATTGATACGGTGCGGGCGTGGAAGGAGACTGATTCGAAGGCTGGATGGAGTAATGAGGTTGTTGTGGAGGTCGTCATACGATAAGCATAGACTTTAAAAAGAATGAGGAGGGGAAAGAGTCAAAGGCAAAAAACCATCGCATCCAAAGTCGTCATGTAGAAAAGACAAGTCTTTCACTTCCAGGTATCTTATATGCATGCAAAACCCACCACTAACGCCCCCACCACCAAACTATTGTGCTCAGAGAGCAAAGGAACAAGAGCTGTACACTTTTATCAATCCCGCCCGTTGCCCTAATCGGAAACAATGCGTCATTCGTACAGCTGGCATTTCAAGGCAAAACATGGCGGTCGTACGAAGTCTGAACTGAGGTTATCAACACGGAATCGAGACTCATCATAACTTGACGCCCCAAACACCTCGTCCGCCAGCAACACCGACCCACTCGCCGCCTTGCCCTGTCAGAGCGCTCTGAGGTGCCCAGCTAATGTTGCCGACTTCGTAGTCGCACCGCCAGCTGGCATAGGGTCCCTTCTGGCCCACGGGCACGTTCTGCGCGCCTGCGGCTCCGTTGGCGGGATGTGTGGTCGCGGGCTGTACGACGGGAGGCTGTGTTGAAGCGTGTTCCCCGCTGATTGTCGCGCCGTTGTTTGCGTGTAGCAGGTCCCAGATGAGGACGAGGGAGTCGTCTCCACCAGAGGCAAGCATGCCTCTCCGCGATGGGTTCCACTCTATGCTGTTGACGGACGCAGAGTGGCCGCGCAGTTCGAGTAGGGCTTGGCCTGGCTGCCGCACGTCGAGGATGCGGATGAGGTTTGAGTCGGCGGCGAAGGTAGCGAGGAGGTGGGAGTCGTGGGGTGATGCGGCGAGACGGAGGAGCGGGGGCGCGTACGACATGGTCTGCTGGGCTTTGGTGGGCGACATGCGGCCTGTTGGCGAGCCTGGACCTTGTTAGCAATTGGCGTCGAAAGTGAATACAGAAACTGACCCTTGTCTTTGTCGCCGCCCTTGTCTGAGGGCTCGTAGATGATGGTGCTGTGCTCTAAACTGCGGAGATCGAACATGCGGACACTGCCGTCGGCTCCACAACTGACAAAGACATCGACACTCCCTGCGCAGAAGCGTACATCGAAGACCTCTTTGTCGTGGGCAATCAATTGGGTCTTGGCGGTAAGCGAGGGTATGTCCCAGATGGTGCAGGTCGTGTCTATGCTGGAGGTGATGATGAGCTTGGGCGACATGGTATTCCAGTCGAGGGAGGTCAGCGGCGCGGTGTGTTCAGGGGTCTTGGAGTTGGAGAGGAGGGCGAGCGGCGTGAGCTTAGGGAGCTGGGGCTCTCGCGTGTTTACGGAGGACGAGCGCGTGATGGTGTTGCTCATGTTGTTTCCGGAGGCCTGGGGCAGCGACCACAACCGCAGATGGTCGCCGGACGTTGCGAGGAGGTCGGTCGACTGCTTCTGCGACGACGGCGGCTCCCACAGTATGCGCGTGACGGGGAAGGAACATGTGGCTTCGGCGATTGCGTTGTACTCGAGGCCGTAGGGTGTCGCGCCGGGGGCGGAGGTGTCTTGGGGCGCTATTTGCGTGTCGAGAATGCGGATGAAGTTGTGGTTGTCCTCGAGATAGCTGCCGACGGCCATCTTGCCGGCGCTGTTGCCGCCCGGGACGTTCCATTTGCACCAGTCGTAGGCGTAGATGCTCCAGGGGGCGAGGTAGTTGCTGTTGGAGGGCACCTTGTTGCCGTCGCTGACCATGGTGTTGCCGTGTCCCATGCCCTCGTGGTCCATGGTCGAGTTTGCGCGCGGTCTGATGTCGGCGAGGCCCAGGGGCGACTGCGATGCGGCGCCCGAGGGAGTCGTGGGGTAGTACTTCTGGGCGGGCGTGCCGGCTTGGTACTGTTTCTGGTCGGGGGTGTTGGAGAAGGGGACGTATTTCTGGTCGGGGCCCAGGCCAGCTGGGCTCGAGCGCGAGTAGGAATGGGCCGAGTGAGGGGAATGCTGCGGCTGGCTGATGGTGTTGGAGCGCGTGGGCAGCGTGTACTGCTGGGCGTTGCTGGCTATCTGCGTCTGGGTAGGCACGACGGGCGCCGTGTAGGCGTTGGCGGGCGCGGGTCGCTGTTGCTGCTGCGGCCCCGGCGGCTGTTGTTGTGGCTGCTGCGCGGGCTGGAGGGCGCCGGGGACTGCCGGGGAGCCATACTGGCTGGTCTGAGGGGTTCCATGGTCGATGTTGATGTTGGGCGCCGAGCGGTAATTGTCGGGCGAGCTGTACAGGTGCTGCTGCTGGGGCTGCGCCGACGCCGATGAGGGCACCTGGCCGCCGCCAGCAGATATGTGCAGCTCCTCGTTGGTGCGCCGTCGCGGGGCGTCGAAGCTCGAGGTGGCCTGGGGCGGTGCGGTCGAGGGCAGGTAGGCGTCGCCCTGGGCCGGCTGGTTCGCGCTGCTCTGGGGCAGGAAGGCGTCGGTGCCGGCGCGCGTGGTGCCCTGCGTGGCCCCTCGCAGATTGCCTCCAGGCGCTCCTATGCCTACAATTGCGAGATACACATCAGCCCACGTTCACGGCGGTGCCCAAGGCCTCAAGCTACATACTCCCCAGCGCCGACGCCGCTGCAAAGATGCCCTGCGCCGGGTCGTTGTGCGCATTCTGGTGGTGGTTTCCGAAAGGCATGGCGCCTGCAATTGCTCTACAGAGTACGCTGGCTCGGGCGGAGGAAAGAGAGACTCGGGACTGTTGCGGCGCGTAGTCAATCGTCAAGAGCTCCGCTGCGGTTGGCCTCGACTTGCTGGGCGCCCGCGGCTGTTTCTCGGCAAAAGTTCCCCACCACCCCTCCGCCTCCCTTCACGCTGCTTCGGGTTACCCTCATGTGACACAGGCTCGCTTCCACCATGGCTATGATTCATGATCTTCAATACCACCGTCTCCAACCCCAGGTTCATTGACCCCCGCAACCATGCCGCCAGCACACAAACCCGTTCGCCGTGCACTGCTGCTGCTGCCGCCTGCGCCCTCACCACCCTCGTATGCAGCACTCAAGGCCGCCTACAACTCGCCCTTGTTCACCGTCTTGAAAGAGCTGGCCCGGTCTCCTCGCAAATTCCATGAATCCATAATTCTAGAAATTGCATTGCCATGCCCGCATCTGTACGGCCATCTTGATGAGCCCCGGGGGCTGCACTACGCAACCACCCAGCAGCTAGTAGCCCATCTCTACAAACTCATCTGCATCACTGCGAGCAGGGAAGCTATCGATACGGAAGATTCTGAGGGCGTTGATGCTCGTGTTGTTCTAGTCGCATATCCCAGGGACGGCCAACTGACGAAGCCCCTACCAGATTCAACCCCAGAGCAGGAACTCCAGGGGCCAGCAATAGACATCCATACGCTAGCACGGAGTTCGCGATCATGGGATACCGTCTACTCGGTCGAAAGCGAAGAAGGGGAGCGCGTACTGAGGAGCTTCCTCTCTCTATCGAAAGCCCAGATACCCGTGTCCAAAGTTCGCGGTGGTATTGTCAGTGTAGAGGCCCCAGAACCAGTATCGTCTGCCGATGAGACAGACAAATCAATCAACCACCTCTCCGTTGCTGTCGGAGGGACTTTCGATCACCTCCACATTGGCCACAAGCTACTGCTTACCATGTTTGCCTTTATGCTCGGAAGGAGACAGCCATCCACTTCGGATACGAAGCCCTCCGTGCTTACAGTCGGAATCACTGGCGACGCTCTACTAGTGAACAAGAAGTTTGCAGAGCATCTCGAAAGTTGGAAAGAGCGTCAGCAATCAGCACACGACTTTCTCTCCTCTCTCCTCTACTTTGGGCCCCCAGATGACGAGCGCATCCGTGTTGAGGAGATCCAAGAACCCGGGCCGAACGGACATGCCGTCCACGTCAGCTATCCCTTTGGGCTCACTATCAAATATGTTGAGATTTGGGATCCTTTCGGCCCAACAATCACTGACAAAGATATCTCTGCCTTGGTGCTGTCGCTCGAGACAAGGAGCGGAGGTGCTGCAGTGAACAACAAGCGCAGCGAGCAGGGATGGGACCCCCTTGAGGTTTTTGAGGTCGCTGTTCTCGATGCCAGCGAAGAAGACAGCATCGATGAAACCTTCCAGAGCAAGCTAAGCAGCACTGAGATTCGTCGAAAACGAAGCGAACGTGTTCAATCCAGAGCGAAAGCGTGACCCGATAGGCGTGGCCGGGCGGGTTGATGGCGAGACACGTCTTTGAGTGTTTGCCGTGCTGGAACAGGCCCAGGCGATATGTGAGTAGAGTTTTCGTCGGCACGAGAGGTCGACAAGTCGACGAGGCAGGAGGTCATCTAGTGTCATTTTCTGTGCGACGATCTACGACAGCTGCGTGCGCCATAGCTACACGACCGCGCAGGTCCGCATGACGTTACCAGGGCGAGCATAGGCTTGTGAAGCAACACGTCGATCTGACCGGCAGTTCCACGCATGCATCGTCATCGGCGCATGTACGAGCGGGATTGCGGCCATGTCCTCTCCGTCCCGAATTTGTGCGATGGCCGAATTCGGGTCGCTTGCGCCTACACAGATGCTTGTATACTATTTACATATTGCACGCCGTACTTCGTGTGCTGTAATGGAACTCGCATGCTATCATCTCCTGCCGAGCAGGACAGATGACGCACTGCAACAGCGTACGCACATTGCGAGACATACAGACACCCGTTTCAGCCCACTATGAGGCTCCTAAAGCTCCGTGTCGTCATGAGATGCCCATCGCTTCAATGGCGTTTGCGCCATCCCAAGTACACGGCAGTGGAATCGGCCGGATGACGCATCTGAAGCGCTTGTGACGCCAATCAGCCGACCTCCAGATGCATGCTTCGTTGGCAACGCATCGAGACCATCCATGGATGGAAATTCGTGTAGTGGGCTGTGGGGAGCAGGCCTTCGGGCCTCGAATCAGCGCAGGCGTAACAGCCAGCCCTAGCGAATTTGTGCAGTAGTCCACAGCGGCCATTCGACTCTTCTTCGCGGGAGGAGCCATGCATGTTTACCGTCCTGCTTATGTAAATGCAGACGCTAGTGATCATGTGAGACGTTATGCCCGTTGCAGTTTAATGCATCGCGGTTTGGGCGAGGGCGTACCGGGGTGCACGCTGCAAGTTGCAGGCGGCGTGTCCAGTCCCAGGTCGTCTTCGCAACTCTACGCTTAGCTGACTGCTGGCAGAGAGGTCATGCATTTCTTTCTCCGACCACGCCCCTCTGGCTGTCCTTCGCTTGCTATCCCATAGATCGGTGCCGGCTGTCGGATAACACCACGTTGTCAGTTGACTCGACTGTCCCGCTGTCGCTACGCTCACTACCACCTGCCATTCCCTCCTCCCGATCCGGCCCGAACGCTGCTGCCCTGCATTGAGAGTATATCCGCTGTGCGGTGCGCTCCTAAATCGCGCTGGGAAGCTTCCTGAGCAGAGCTTCTTCGGAGCGGTCGTCATGAATGTGACCACTTAAAATGGGTATCCTCGATCTCGCCGACGAGCTTCTTCGCATCATCCTCGAATATGTTGCGAGCGAACCAGAAAAACCAATAAGTCTGGAGCGCCGCGCATACCTGTCGCAGGAATCTTTCAAGCTGCCCCTCCCACCTGAGCCCGACGATGCCGAGACGATTGCGAGCTTTAGGTAAGTGGTATAGCCGCACGGAATGCATGTGAGACACACACTGACTTCGTATCCTCACCTTTGTAGATTGACTTGCAGAAGATTCAGCAATTTGGTGAGTACGGCTGTACGAAATGCACGTGAGACATGTACTGAGCCTCTGCAGGGTGTCATCCATCAGTTCTCGCGCGTTACGACACGCTTCTCGCAAAAGGGACTCGAAAGATTAGAGAGAATAGCTGGCCAGCCTCACATTGCCGGCCGTGTGAAGAAGTTCAGTTACATGGTGCCATTTTTCTACGGTCAAGGACGAGAGCGCATACAGGAGCTCCTCCATACACGGCCCGAGAGTTTCAGCTTCCCTGATATCGAAAAATTCCAGAAAAAGGTGAACGAGCAAACCAGCCTTCTGAACAGCAGGAAAGATGCACATATCCTGCATTTCGCGCTTCAGCGATTCACTTCACTCCAGCATATCCAGATCCTACGCCTGCAGGACCAGGAAGATGCCGTGTTAATCACGTACATGCGGGGTCACAACGAGTTGAACGGTCTAGTACCGACATGGCCACCGGCATGCTTGCATAGCGCGAAAACAATCGGTCAAGCAAGTAATATCCGTGTACGGATTGATAGGAGACATTTACTAACTTCGACCTCGGTCTTCAGGCCCTCCTTGAGTCCGAATCGCCATGTTCGCGATTCTCATCCCCCATGCTAAGCCCGCAGAGCGTACTAGGTGCCGCTAGCAATCCGCCATCAACCCTGGGAATCCTTGCCGAACGCCTGACCTGTCTAGAGCTACATTTCGATGACAGCACGGACCTAGACGTTCGGATGCGACATCTCACCTCCCTGTCCAAGGCATTGTTTACTGCGGCTAAGAATATTGAAGCCGTGCATATTGGCTTTCCTTCATACCGACCACTCACATTGCGGCTAGAAGAGCTTTTCCACAACGTGAAGTGGGAAAAGCTGCAGGGTACGTTTTGCGTCTCTGCATCATGAGACATACACTAACCTGATATCTCCGTCTTTGCAGCTTTTGGGATCCAAGCCTGGCGTCTCAACGCAGATGAAATTCTGGGGATTGCCCGGCGACACAGAGATACATTACGTGGTTTGCGTCTGCGTGATGTACTCTTGAAAGAGGGAAGCATGTGGAAAGACGTGCTTCCCTGTCTACGCGATGAGCTCACAAGGCTTGACTGGATTTCTCTTAGGCGGATTGGATATGAGAAGCAAGTAATATCCGTGTACAAACGGTTGTGAGACTTTTACTGACTTTGTACATCAATCTTTAGGCACTTCGACGAGCAGTTCGTTATGGGAGCCGAAGTACCAGAAGACGACCCTCTTGGAAGCGACAGTAGCGACGAAAGCGATTACGAATACGAACACGAACATGACGATCAGTCTAACGGGAATGACGCTGATGGCAGTTCAATAGCTGACACGGAATCTGACGCAGAGACCGACGAGCCTGAACAGGGTGGTAAGTTCTGGCTTTACGAAGTGCGTGTGACATATACTGACCTCTACAGGCACCCTTTCCTTCCCGCCTATGCCCGATACCCCAGCCTCGATTACATGGTGCAACTGCAACGGACACATGGATGGCGTCGACGTCTTAGGAGACGACGACGGAATCATGGTCACCAATCAGCAGCGCAAGTTCTGGGAGAAGTGGGTCGTAAGGAAGATCTGCACCGAGCAGCATGGCCACAAATGAGCGGCCGAAGAAACCACCAGAAAAGGAAGCGAAGCTATGCGTAACAAAGCCGCAACAAGATCTGTTGGGTTGCGTTGCGTGAGGCGGGCGTAAGAAGAAAAGCAATTATCCATCGAACCGTGTTGCAGCCCTGGACTCATTATATGCAGGCGCGATCACGTTTTGGATCCCGTATGCGGTCTACGGACCGCATATGCATGTGGAGCAGCAGCCACAGCACCATTGACGGGCGCTTATGCGACAACCCAACAACCCGTCACCTGGTCACTTCCACCCCATCTTCGTCAGTCGTGCGAACGCAGACTGCGCCGTATCGTTGCAGGTTTTTCTGGACCCGACTAGGCCGATTTCACGCATTCGCTTCTTTGGAATGGTCGGACGAATCATGCGGCAACAGGACCAGGAACTCCAATCTTTTCGGCTATCTGTCTTGAATCCGTACCCTGACTGTCAAAGCATAGCGCCGGCGCAGCGAACGACACTTTCGCATACCACTTGTTCGAGAGGGATGTTTTACGTCCAAAGTCTTCTGTTGCACCAAAAGTTGTGCGCTTTTGCATTCTGCTTTTTCATCCTTTTGTATCAGCTCTTCGACGCCAGTAATGAATGTAACGTAGCGTGGGAAGGAATCTGCTTTTTAATTGATTGAATCGTTATAGGTATCTTCACTTTAGGCTTCTTGTCTATCACCTGCTGTCGCGGCGATGCCATCGAAGAGCAAAAGTGGGGCACAGTCAGAAGATACATACGCTCACTGGTCCAGCTTCCACTTGCGGATCTTTGCTGCTGCAAAGCAATGGCCCGTTGTTCTACTCGTTCTCACCTATACCGGTCCTCCAAACGTGCTCGTCAAGTCACAATACGGCGAAGCGAGCGGTGAGATTCAGCTATCGATGGCGTCATCTTACTACACGGCATGCGTTGATCTTCACCCGTCTTTCTCTTCTACATTCTTGAACAGAGCACACTCACAGAGGTTTGATTCTCGCATATAATCTCTAACGCTGAACTGACAAGTCAAGATATGGTGAAGGACATACCGGCAAGCCTCACTGCTAATGCCGTGGCAGAACGAGCAAATTCCACTCAGCTATTCCATCGACCTGAGCTCTACCCACCTACTCCATGATACTGAATCGGCTCTATCAACACTCAGGAACAATTCTATCTCGTATGTCTGGCTTTTCGCTTGACACATGTAGGCGCCCTGGCTCACTGTCATGGAGAGTGCCGCACGGAGCCGCCTCTTTCACCTCACCACGCGAAACCGCGCTCATGACACGTCGGACGCGCAGCGACAAGCTTTTATGGCGCGTAGACGCGACTTGAGTCCGACGCGCCTCGAGCTGGATGCCTGGTGGGTTGCAAACTCTTCAAACCGTATAACGTCTTCTCTCTTCCAATCCCAGCCGACTGCAACCTTCGCTGTTTCATCTACTATTCGTTACATCCGAAGCAGCAAATACATACTACATCGCAATGACGAGACACGTTTGGAGAGCAGCAGATGCCGGCGTGATGCTGTGGGAACCGGCGGTGGCAGCGACACCTCCAGCTCCGCACCAGTCGCAGATGCCGCAGCAATTGCATGAAGTAACCGAAGCCGACATCCAAGGTAAGTAGTTACCAGGCATCTTTCCATTTCTCAGTTGTGAAGCAGGCACTGACAACTTCACAGCGTCCCTAACAAGCAACTACGATGACAGCGAACATGACTCGGTGCTTCCTTCGATCGAGGATGTCTTTGAGCCATATATCAAGAGCGAACCTGGAGAAGAGAACAAGGCAGTTAGCTCGTCAACGGTCGGTACCTCCGCTTCGGACACATCCAAGCAGCGTTGTTCCTCGCACGACTCTCAAGCTACCCTTCCACTGTCGACGCCTTGCCCATCAGACGAAGACAGAGACCTTCCTATTGTGCTCCAAAGTCCAGCAAGAACTAGCCACATTCTCGACACTGGTAACACCGCATCCACGCCACAAGTACGACGCACTCTCGACTTCGGCATGCCAGCCCTTCGTCACACTAATGACACCGCACCACAAGTGTCCGAGCCCGGCGACTTTACGTCACTTGCAGCTCTTCGTAGGCTAGAGCGTGACCCGCCCCATCATTGGCATGAAGACGAACGCGAGCTCCTAACAATACTCTACCGATGGTACGAAGATACAAACGTGGCAACCATCCCGAAGGTCTTCAATGCCATCACCGGCCTAAACCTCAGGCTCAACGTCATACGTTACCAGTTCGAAAGCCATCTCATTCTGTATGGCGGTCGTGCGTACCCTGAGTTCGATCGAGTAATGAAAGTCCTCTTCCACGACCCCGAACACAAGTACGACGAGATCCACGCGATCATCGAAGATACCGCCTCCGAGTCGGGCATTGACTTGTCAAGACGCACACACGAGGTGAGTTACACACCTGGATTGGCGAGAACTGCGAAGTCTCCCAAGACGAGAAAGCATTACAAATCCCTCGTTAGACGTGCGCTAAAGAGGGAAAAGGAGAAAGCACGCGCCCTTCGCATGCCGGCCCCGGAAGATCTACCACTGCAGGCTCTACAGCTCGGCGGAATGACACTGGCTGAGCAAGACAATGAGGAAACATGGTCAGACGTTGATGGCTATCATACACCACCCATCACACCTACCCAGCCGACACTCCGGACTCCACCCGGCAGGAATACGATTGGATTTCGCGTTTGGGATGCCAACAGCCGGACTATGTTCGACGACGAGACGGGCTTCGTGAGCCAAGCCTTCTCAATTTGGAGGGGCGAGTTCCCGCCGCCATTCTCTCCAGATGGGCAAGGTCAACATGCTCTCATGCTCTTGACGAATCTCCATCTGTCCATGAGTGGCGGCGCATCGGCCTTTGTTTCAGTATCTACGAGTCTCTTGCAGGCACTGGTCAAGGCCTCAACAATGTTTGAGCCCAGAATCGCCGTCAGTACGTTGAAGTCCCACCTGAATTAACGTCTTGGTCTCATGCTAATTACGGTGGCTTCCTTTAGTTGCACTCGACCATCCACTGCTCACAGAGCCACACAAGACTCTGCCAGCAGCAGATGTCATGCGGATGCTAAAAGCGGAAGGCCAGGCATGGTGGGCAAGATACAAGGGCCATGCAGGTGAGCTTCCGAAAAGTCCTACATACTGCGTCTATACTAATATAAACCAGAGCGCATGGTATGGGCTTCCGTCCCAGCTGCAGCCGTGCTCTCACACTTCCCGATTTCCGACCTCACTGTCTTGTCACGTCACAACCAAGCTTGCGATGATATCCTCAACTTGCGGGACATCCAATCCGGCCGAAAGACACAGTACGTCTCGTCGCTCTTGCGCGACAGGAACACAATCATCAATATCCGCACCGCACGAGCTATGGCCGTGGTATGCCGGGCCTTCAAGATGCACCGTGTCGGCGTCAGCCTTGGGCATATACAAGGACTTGTCTCGTCGTTGGTGGATTCATTCCAGCTGAAGCACGTCACAAGCGATACACCTCGCATGTCCATGATGATGGCCAAAGCGTTTGCCGTATCTCTTGTGTCGCAAGCTCATCTGGACCCTGATGTTGAGACCGCTTTCCAGGAGGGCATTCAGCAAGGCATTGTCAGTAATATCCGTGTACTGATTGTTGTGAGACTTTTACTAACATGATACATCGACTCTTTAGGCTACCATCGAGTTCTACACCCGACGTCGACCCGTGGTACCTCGACGACGGAGTAGCTGAGAACGTCTCGGCAATCCCTTCCAGCCCTCAACTCTACGGAACAGCTTTTCTTAGATACTACAGCCCTTTGGCGATTACAAGAAAATGGGCAAATACGAGGAATGGCTCTCGGCATGATTTATCAAGAACGTTTGGCGAAGCGCTAATGTCATCCGATATCCAAGCTTGGTTAAAGATGTCATAGATTGTGTATGGATTTATCGAGCGCAGAATAGTTGATTACATTTTACAGAATGCAGAAACATGCGACTTCAACCATACCTTCCGAAACATTGAGCGTACAATAGTGCAGCTCGTCGTTCAGACACTTACTCGCCATCAAGCCTCCTTTCCCTCGCCTCAGACCCAGAACCTTCAGAAGCCTCATCACCCCCTTCACTTTCCACACCATTCGTTCCCGCACCATTCGTCTGCTGAACCTGAGCCGCACGCTCCCTCGCCGCCACATGCCTCATCATCTCCTCCTCCATAGTCCCCCTCTGTCTACGAATCTCCCGCCACATCTCCTCCACTTCCGCGATCTCCGCATCCATGCTATCTTCGCTACCCCCTTCGCTACTCCCCGCGCTTTCCTCTTCCACAACTCCCCTCTCCACCAGCAAATTATCTCTAGCGGCTCTCCTCACATCCCTCGCATCGCGACGCCGCCTGAGCGTTGCAGTAGGGGTTTCGTAAGCGCCGTTACGGTGGAGCTCCACGCTCTCTGATAGCTCACCGTTTGTAGGCGGGTTGGAAGTGGGCACAGTGTCGCCGTTTGTACTTCCGACGGCGGAGTTGACGAGCGTGGTTCCGCTTAAGGATGCGCTCCGAGAAGAGCGCGTTGAAGACTCTGATGAACTTCTCGTACCATTTCCAACATAAACACTTGGGGGGATAATCTGTATCGCTGTTGCGTACCCATTTGTTCTAGCCTCCGTTGCTTGATGCGGACGGAGATGGAGCTCCTGGTCTATTCCACCTTCGGCGCGGATCGCGCGGAGGCGTAGAATAGGGCCGTCGAGGGTGTATGATACGGAGCCCCAGTCCCCAATCGCTTCGTTCAGTTCGGAGGTGGAGAGGCGGGGACGCGGTCGGATGTCATCTGGGTCTGCGGTAACTCGCTCTGGGGATGGGGTTTGAGTGTAAGCGTTAGAGGTGTGGGTTCGACCGTTTCTGAGGGGAGCGCCATTGGCACTGGTGTTGTTTGGCGTTACGATGCCGGCGTTGATGTGGAAGGTGTTTGTAGTCCCGTTTCTGTTGTAGTTGGTGCTTCTTCCGCTCCCGCGACTATCACCATTGTGATATTCGCTGTTAGGCTCACGAATCCACACATCTTCACTCAGATCTTCCACGCCTTCGTGATCGACAAACCCGTTTACAGCCTCAAGGTGAACAGCCGCCGTAGTCAACAACGTACGACGGTGATTGTTCGGGTCGGTGTAACCCAAACCCATCGCTATGGTGTATCTAACCATGATATCCCTGATGACCCTGGAGCCGATGGAAGGTCTCAAACCATACAGGACAACCAAGAGTGGCCGAATGATTTCTCGTGCGTCGGCGTAGTCCTCTTCATTAGAGCCGTCATTTGTAGGTTCGTAGATGTAGCCATAGAAACGATTGTCATTGGAAGGAAGGTGGTTGTTTACATGACCGTTTGGGAGTGAAGGGTACTGGATGTTGCCATTGGTTGAGGGAGTATGAGTATAGCCGTTAGTGTAGCCGTTGGGCTGATGAGCATGTCTTTCTCCACTGGGCATGTTGGTCGTTAAACGAGTCGGCTCAATTTCATACCAACCATCTCTGGGTGCGACATGCCGAACATGTCCATTCGTCGTTGCTTCACGCCTCGAAGCATTATCCAAGAACGATCTTTCGTATTCCTCGATGATAGTGCGCATGGTTCTCAGTCCTAGTTGTGGCGTTATACCAGTCAGAACATCCGTTAAGATGGTCCGGCGCCACAAGCCTCCAGGATCATTTCGAATGACTATCCTTGTGGGACGGGGGCCGCGTGGGGAGGGGTAGAGGTTATTCAATCTCTGACGTATGGGGGAGGTTGTGATGGTAATGATGTCGTAGTTGGTAGTATCAAGATGAGGTATTTGAGGATGTCCATTCGTTGTGGGAGTAGCGCTGTCGTCATTCGTCAAGAGCGTAGGCATGTCTTCCTCAACTAGCATTCTAGCGCGAGTCTCTACGTTTCCACCGGTGCGTACGGCTTGTGTAAGTGTGCGCGGTTCGTCTCTCGATGACGTTGAACCTTCTTCCGGGCTGGGTGGTAAAGCACTGGCCGCAGCTGCTTCCAGTGCTTCCTCATCGTCCAGTGAAGTGACTTCTCCGCCCCGTATACCATACACCTCTGAAACATGGAGCGGCTCATCGAGAATGCTGTCGTTGGGATATACACCGGAGCAACGAGTTCTGTTTATCATCGACCGTTGTATCATACGGCAAGCCAGCTCTCTGGCCCGCTGCTCTTCCAGAAACTCGTCGACATCGAACGGCTTTCGTACAGGTGTTTCCCCCTCTTGACGCTTCTGCACTTCGCGGTCTCCATCATCCTCCATTTCTGCTTCATCGCCAGCCTCATCTGCTATCTCTTCGCATTCTTGCTGTCGCCTTCCCAAATCTCTTACTTCGTTCTCTAGCCTTCTCGTTCTCTGCCTTTCCCGATCGACCATTCTTCTCAAAGCTCTGACTTCTTCAACGAGCGATGGCACAATATCCTCAAGATCTTCGAGGTTATCCACTCGATCTTGAGTCTCCGGGTGTGCTTCGGGGGTCCGGAAGTATGTTGCTAAAGAGAAGAGGAAGGAAGATATGGCAAGGGCGGGAAAGGTGGCCGATAGGAGGATGATGACATTGCTACTGTTCATTTTGCGTTTGTACAATTATTGTTTCTCGTTTGTGGAGAAAGGATATATGGGTACTAGGAGCGTCAGAGATGGCTTTTGAGGAGGGAGGCCTCTGATGAAGTGTCGAGTTGCGACACATGTTCGACACACTTGACGCTTGAAGTTGTGGACCCGTCAGTCAGTCGGTCACTGTGGTTATGTCTTTTTGCGCGCTGGTCACAAGGCATGTTCAACCTGATGGGCCTGTGAAGGAGTTAATCAATGAATGCAGCTTGTAACAGTTACAGTGTTTGTCACCGGCACTCGTGATGGCGGTGAGGCTCACACAATGGATAGTACAAGCTATCTTTCCTTCACACGACATCGTAAAAATGTCCTCATGATCAAGCCTTTCGCGTGCCGTGGCTGTTCGCTTTATCGACAACCGCGACATCACGCACACAAATGCCAATTCGGCTTTGCACAACTAAGCCCGTAATGTTTGATGAATGTACAGATTGGTATTATATTACTTGTGAAGTGTATGTATGTACAAAGAAACCCCGGTCATCGTTTGATTCGATGTTTAACCAGAGGCAGCAATGACCAAGGTGTACTGGGCAACCTGCGAGCAGACGAAGTCGTTTGGACCGTTGCCACCGGCGTGGCAGTAGGTGGGAACAACGCCCTGACCCCAGAAGCCGACACTGTTCGCATATGTTAGTCTATCGTCCATAGTATGTGTCACTTGATGTACGTACGCAGTGCCAAGCTCGTGGTAGAGAGTGATAGGGTAGTCGCCGTTGATGTCCTTGGTCATGGCGAAACGGTACTTGCTGTCGCCGCAGTTGACAATAGGAGCGGGGAGAGTAGGGTAGGGTCCGCCGACGCAGGAAAGGTCGGTGGCGTTGCGGCCGTCAATCTTGAATGAGACGGACTGGAGGGTGCCGTTGTTCTTGCGGATGGTGTAGTCCTTGAAGTTGACGTTCTCGTAGCTGTTGACGTCTGGTGGGCCCTGGCAGTGAGCCGGGTTAGGGCAGTCGGGAGTCTGGGCAGCGGGTGCGGCCATAGCGGCGGCACCGAAGAGAGCGGCGAGGGTGAAGAACTGCATTTTGATTGATTTGAGAGGTTTGGTGGTGTTGATAGGTGAGGTGTTTGGAAATTGACTGCTTGGATGATGGATACAAGTTGTGGTGGCTGGAGCCGTACTTATATCTCTGCGAAGATCTTCATTACCATCTCAACGTCACTTAGTCGAGCGCTCGAGCAACAACCAACAATGCCCATGGATTCGGTCATACCTCCTCGTATTTCTCACCGTGGTGGGTTGCATTCGGGCAATGATGTTGCCCCCAGGACGGGCGTGCACCGGCGTAGGCACAAATCTCCGAGCCTAACGTGTGGACCCCTTGACCGCTAACAACTTCTGTGATGTAAGTGGCATTGATCGTCGAACAACAAGGCAGGTACCTCGTATACTACAGTTGCGCATGCTGTGATGGATATTGCGGCTTGATGCATTGTTCTCGTTTTCGCATGTCGGCACGTTGCCCAGGAGAGCTCTGCATTGACTGAGACGTCTGTGATCGTGAATTCGTTCACCGCAACTGCTCCTGTAAAGAGCCAGCACATCGACGTGGAATTCACCTTGGCATTAGTGATGCAGGAACCACCTGCGAGCGGTGACATTTTTGGGTCTGCGAAGCTGAGCCTCAACTTTGGTATGCAGGGTGCCGGAGCCGCACGCCACACCCGCTGACGCCACAAGCAGCGTGGCCTACGAGGCTGGCGGTTGACGTAACGTGGGCTTCGCTGTTCAATCGAGCGCCACATTACATCAGGTTCTGTTCGCAAATGCGAATCCGGTCGGCATGACCGTCATGGTGAGTGCGCAAGCCCAGTTCCAAAAATAGTGGCACCTGCGTTGCACCTAGCGACGGTATGCATGATGGGAAAAACACCTCAACCTCGCGTGGTGTGTTTCGTGTTAGGAGGCGTTTGTGGAGCGCATGTTTGTTGAGGCTTTCGATAGTGCGACGAGTTTGCGGGCCCCTAATCTAAAAATGGCATGATGTCATTGGGCACACTGTGCAAGACTCGAAAGTTCGACGTCAATGTCTATGGACAACACACTGGCCGTGGAAACATACGCGTGGAATGCTGTTTTTTTGTGCTGGCAGCTCTCAAGATAGCACATCCGTCAAGGTAACGATGAACGGTTCGTAGTCGCTCTGAACACGCCAGAACAAGCGTCTCGGCAGTAGGAAACCGCGTTTTGCTGAGGCGCGACCTAGCACTGTAGGGTGTTATCGCTACCAAACAACTTGCACAGCTACTGCGCAGTCGAAAGGACGCTCATCGGGGTTATCAGCGCGAACACTGGTGTATCACCTGACAGTGCTGTGGGGAGCAGTCTTCGAGAAGTCGCACCGAATCAACGACTGATGATCGCAATCTCGTGTACGACAACCATCCCAACCTCGCAAGTATTAGCGACCTTCCTCGACAGTTGTACGGGATACTTGCTCTCAGAAGGCGGTGCACTTCTCCGCGCAAGTCGTGTCCAGTCGCATATCATTCAGGCAAATTCCGTGTTGATTGCAGGCATAAGCGATGTTGTGGAACAGGATGAAGGAGGATGGTTAGGTCGATTCTGCCATTGTGCAAGCGCAGCCCGTCTCGTAACGATGATTGCATGTTCGGAGAAGGGAGACAAAGACGCTATGAGAAAGTGGCAAGAGCAAAGAGGTGTATATGCAGAAGATCGTTGCATCGTTTGGTTATGGTATGACTACTGTTTTGCTAGGATGAGAGAAGTACACCAAATAAATGAGAGGGTATATAACATGCTTGTTGCGACCTTTTTGAACGCCGGAACACCATGCATGAAGCTCGCTAACAGCAAAGAAAGTAAAGCACAGAAGATGAGAAGAGCGTGAAAGTTGCGCTGCATTTAGTGTCGCCAAAGAGTTGACAACCGGCGCTCTGTCTTGACGCCGCGGTCTTCCTCATTGCGGGGTCTGAGTCGCGAGAAGGGCGCTTTGAAGGCGGTCGGAATCTTGGCCATGGATGGCGAAGTAGGGCCTGTCGGTGATCCAGGGTTGGATCGTGCTTTTTGTTGTGTGAGAGTAGCTTTGTATTGCTCCCAGTAGCCGGTGGGTGTCGTGCTCACAGGTGTGGAGAACCTTGAATCTTTCGCCGGCGATGTGGCATTATCCAAGACTGAGGAAGTAGATTTGGATCTGTTTCGATACGGAAGATTGGGTCTCTTGTCGGCAATGAGAGCGCGTGCCTCTTCGGCAGTGAAAGTGGGTCGTGTGTCGGGAAACAGGTTCATACGGGGTCGGGTGGGCGACGGCGGAGTGGAGACAGCCATGCCAATGGTCGAGTCCACTTGGGAGAGCTCATGGACATCATGAGTTACTTCTGACTTGTCCTTCTCGAAACCAAACTCAAACTCGGCTTTAGGGGACTGTTGTCGTAGGAGAGGATGTATATGGCTTTGTGCTGTGACTGACATAGTGCCAGGTGACTCAAAAGAGACAAGTCCACCCAGAAGCCCACTCTCTTCTGCGGCGCTGACCTTACGATTAGGGCTATCCGCAGATGCGCTGGACTTAGATGAGACCACACTCGCGCCTTCGCTCCACAGGGAGCTTGCTGTAGAGCTAGTACTGTCTGAACGGCTAGGAGGCTCGCCAGTGCGAGCCAGGTAGAGTGGATAAGTGGCACGCTCGAGCTGAACAGAATCGAGTAGAGGTGTTCGGGGACGTGCGGCCGTGCTTGCTGTAGCACCCTGCCTGCTACGAGTGACTGAGGGTGTTCGTGATCGGAGCCAGGAGGTATCCAGTTCAGCCTCGCTCTCTGCAGTGATTGCCGTGGAATGCTCGGAATAAACAGAAATGGTTTGGCGAGCGTGATCCTGCGAGGATGGGATCGAGTCTTTCGACCTATCGCCAGTTTCCTGAACAACACCAGCAGGCTTCTGTGTAGTTTTCATTGTGAGGCTATTGCTCCGCGAGCCTCGAGTAGAAAGTGACCGTCGCGCTAGAGAACGCACAGAGGACGAACGAGGTAGTTGGGATATCCTAAGGGGCGCAACCTCCATGGATCCACGTCGACTCATGTTTTGCGGCGTAAAGTAATCTTCCCTTTGGCAGTCTGGCTCTATCGAATATAGACTGCTTTGAGAGTCATCAGGACCTTCGTCGATGGCCACTGGCGTCTTAGCTGGAGGTGACGCCAAAGGAGTCGTAGCAACGCTATTGGTAGTCGAGCTGGGCTCCGCAACGTAGCACAAAGCGTACTCCGGGCTTTCAGTATCGCGAACTTCTTTTGGCGCCCTCAGAGCGGACACAAGATACTGGAGAGTGCCATAGATCAAGAGCCACCCGACTTTACGCGCATCTGTTGCTGATACCTTGCCCTGGCGTTGACTGGGGCTGGTAGCATGCGCCTTCTCAAAGTGAATATATGCCTGCACGATGTTGGACTTCATCGCACTGGGCTCTAAAACGTTCGTTGCCGCTGCTAGAGCACCATGCATGGTGTCCTGTACATGCGTCTTGTTATACTGCGAGGCCAGAACCAGCTGTCTCAAGGCCTTTTGAGAGTTCGTTTTCTGGGAATTTGTTCTCTTCAGTGGCGAAGTGTATGTTGGTAAGAGAGGTAACGGGTGCGGCTGAGACTTGAAGCCATGTCGTTGATCGAACGTTGCAATGTTCTGCAAGACACAGATACCACCGCTAGCTGGTCTTTGGGAGGAGATATCGGCAGTCGAGTCGATGTCTACGAGGTAGTCGTACAGGTTCTGGAAGTCATAGTACATAGACTTGTACAGAGCTTTCGGGAAAGCGGCACCCCGTGGTGGTGGCCAATAGCCAAATTTGTCCACGTAAAAGGTATGCAAGAAGCGGCGGAACCGATCGAGATGGCTCCTGGCGCCATCCGTCAATCCGAGGTGAGTCGGCGAGAGGTCTTCCTGTAGAAATCTGCTCAGTGCGGTCGATACGCGCCCGAGATGGCCGTCAACTTCGAGATGT